CACTTGGTGAACCACCAAAATGGCGCAGGCCCCTTGATGCCGAATAAATGATGGCCTTTACTGACGTGTGGGCAAAGCTTGCACACTTTGGGGTGTCCGAGGGCAGAGGTGAGCGGAGTCAGGGCAGCTAGCCAGCCAGTCACATAGGGTCTGGAGAGAGGGGGCACGGAAGTGATGGATTGTACATACATTTTATTTTTCTTTTTTAAAAAGTATTTATTTTTAGAGAGAAGGGAAGGGAAAAAGAGAAGGAGAGAAACATCAATGTGTGAGAGAGAAACAGTTGCCTCTCACATGCCCCCAACTGGGGACCTGGCCCGCAACCCAGGCATGTGCCCTGAGTAGGAATCGAACCCACGACCTTTTGGTTTGCAGGCCAGCACTCAATCCACTGAGCCATGTAAACACATTTGCTAATGAAAGTTTCATTGAAGTTTGTTTATAGAAAGAGAGAAATTAGTAGACCGAATTCCCTTGAAATTCCAGGAGGGGAAAGCAAGAAGTACCTGACATATGACTTGTGACCTCTGGGCAAGCCTAGGGAGCCCCCTAGGCCTGTGCACTGGCCTGGGGCCCTGCCACTTGGGAACCTGCGCTCTCCGCCTCCCACAGGTCCCTCTGGACTTGGGTGTAGTTTGCCCCTCTGCACAGCTGTTGATGGGCTCTGAACTGTGTGTGCTGGTAATTGCCTGTGTAATTAGCCTGCTCCTGGAGCCTTGGCTCAGTGTAAGTGGGTGAAGTTACAGTCTCCCCTCTGCAGCTGGGGGTTCTGCTCTAGCAGGTGAATTGCAAACGGGTCTTGGAAAGTCTTCTACCTTAGTCAGCCTTGAAAGTGAAGGTGCGGGAACTAAGTTTGGTTGGAACATACCCTTAATGGACTTGATTGCCCACTTAAAAAACAAATTGCTATAGCAGTAGGGTCAAGATCTTAGAACAACTGCTTACAGAATGGGACTCACGTGGCAAAACCTTGGGGGCCATGAAAAAACTTGCTGGGGAGGGCGAGATTGTAGATGACTGTGAGGAGGGTTACACAGCACCTTCTCTCTCTGTGCTTCTTTCCCTGGATAGCAAGGTCCTGGAGGAAAGGAACCCTGCCTTCACCGTCTGTGTCCCCAGCACAACAGCAGCACGTAGTATATATTCGAAAAATGGGTGTCGACTCTGAAGAGCGAATGAGCCTGTGGGTGAGAGTGTGTAAATATAGCTCTGTCTCCCGTGCGTTCACTCCATTTGGGTCTCATCTTGACACACTGTTAAGGAATCTGGTTCTCTCGACTGAAGGGAAGAAGTGTGGTGAGGCAGCCGCTTGGTGTGGTGGCGCTGTGATGTGGCCTGTAGGCAGGCTGCCTGGCTTCGGGTCCCAGCCCTGCCACTAGCTGTGGGGCACTTGGGCAGCCAGGGCAGGTGCCAGATCCGGAGGTAGGCCTGGCACGGGCGCCTGCCTTTGGGAGGGGGGCTGTTGCGCGGAAATCTCATAGGACGCTTGCCCCGAAACTCCTTGTGTGTGGACACTGGCTGCCCTTCGCTATTAGGTGATTGCAGTGTTGATGTAAAATTTAGCCCACCTCTTCTCGATCTGAGCTGTGGGAGCATGGGGTGGGGGGGTGCGGTGGGGGCGTGGAGGGGATCGCTTTGGTGCACAGTTAACTGATCTGAGCCCGAGAACGCCTAGGCTCTGCTGGGGGAAGGAGACCCTGCAAGGTGTCTTGCTGCCTCTGGCCGGCCCACCCACACGCCGGGGTCTAGGTGTCATGGTCTTCACTCAAGAACTGCGTGCAGTGGGACCAAGTCTTTAGTTGTCAGACTAATGCCACATTGTCATTAAACACCAGTATCATGCCAGGCAGTTCAACCAATTTAATGAGTCTCCCTGGCTTTGTGAGGGGGAGGTTCCAGGAACATACAGCCTAGTTGCCTCTCTTGAAAGGACTTTTCTGGAGACGTACTATAGCTGAGGGGCATGTGCCATTGCCGATGGTACAGGCAGACAGATTATGCGAGAAGAGGAACAATGGAGACGGAGCTGGAGTTGATGGAGAGGTGGGGTGCGTTTGGAATGTGGGTCGTGGAGCAGCACCGTAGTGTGGGCATTCCAGGTGAGAGGGACTGCTGAGCCTCAGAGGCCTGGAGGCAGGAAGGAGTGTGTGTCTGGGCCTTCAGGATGGTATGCATTTGGCACTGCCCCTTGTTAGCTCATGACCTTGGGCGACTGCCTTAACCCTTTGGAGCCTCAGTTTTCTCATCTGCAGAATGGGGCTGGTAACTGTACCTACCTGGAAGCCTGTGGTAAGGGTGAAATAAAATGATCCGAGGGGACTGCTTGGCAAGTGACAAATCTTGGCCTCTATTGTTACTGTTTTAAATTTGGCTGCGTGCGGCTAGTGTGTGGGAGTGCCTTCAGTGCTGCACCTAGAGGTTCTGACTTTTTCCTGCTCCTTGGTGACAACCCTGTGTGTTCAGTGGAACTCTCTACAAGCCAAGCCCTTCTCCGAGCTGGAGTCAGCCCTGCCCAAGGTTATGTGCGCCTTGGGAGGGGATGCTCCTCCGTGGCTACTCCTCAAGCCCACCAGCGTGTGCTGGGGCCTGGAACGCTCCCCATGTAGACCGCCACACAGCCACCACCCTCACTGCCTGCAGGCCTCCGTGCCACGTTCCTTGACCATTGAGGGACTCCTTGGCCACCCAGGCAAACAGCGCTGCAGGTCCCTCTTCCCTCTTATTAGGCTTTATTTTGCTGTGCACCCCTCATCACTGCCAACAAATGTGCTTTTCCTGCTGACTGTCCATCTCCCGCACTGGGCAGTGAGCACCAGGAGGGGCAGGGCTGGTCTTGTCCACAGCTGAACTTCACAGCCCCTGGCAAGGGGCTTGGTGCGAGTGGGTATCCAGTAAATACTGTTGAATGAACGGATGGAGGTGGTGCTTCCAGATGTTAACAGGATACTCAGTCTTTAAAAAAATTCTGAATGTTTCAACAATACCCAGAGCCAGGAGAGGGCTTTCCTACTTTAGCCATGACTTCAGGTCATACCCTGACCACAGTGTCCCTTGGGCAGCCAGGAAGGAACAAGGGGCCTAAGCAGGGATGCCCTGGTCCTGATCCCCAGAGCCTGGATGGGCTCTACGTCTGAGGGTCCCTCTCCCCAACTAAACAGCCTACCCTCCCTTCTCATCTCGGGTTTTATCCAAGTAGCGTAGGGGAAAGTTTTGTTGTCCCCCTTTGTGGGGTGTGTGTGTGTGTGTGTGTGTGTGTGTGTGTGTGTGTAAGATTATTTATTTATTTGCTTTTAGAGAAAGGGAGAGAAATGTCGAAGGTGGGTTGCCTGTCTTATGCGCCCTGGCGACCCCTGACCCTTCCATTTGCTGAATGATGCCCAACCAACTGAACTGTACCAGCCAGGGCCAGAGACAGCTTTTTGAGAGAGAGAGAGAGAGCGAGAGAGTGAGAGAGAGAGAGAGAGAGAGAGAGAGACCATCCCCAGGTGTGAGAACACTGTCTGAGCGAATATGAGTGAGTGTTTTCATCCAAGGAAAAGTGTAGGCGGATGTGCTTGTGGATGAGGAGCAGGGCAGCCTGTGGTGGGGAGGCAGAGTACACGCATGTGTGGGGAGGGGGGACGGAGAGAGCACGTGGTCTCTGTCCCCTGAGGCTCTGAGTGTGCTGTGTGGGGACCCCTGAGGTGGGTAGAGCTGGTGCCCAGCTCACGTCCTCTGGATTCAGCGACAGAGGGTATACACTCATGCTGCACAGAAGCTGTAAATTCCAGGAAACTCCCTGCCAGCCCTGCATAGTGGGGGTGGGAGTGGAGGCTAAACCATGCTGGTTCCCTAGCACTTGGAGAGCAGATGTGTCTGCCTCAGGGACAGCAGCAGAAGAAAGTTCAAACTAAAGTGTGTTTGCTCACTATAAAAGAGATGTTTGTGAGGAGGCCCTGGGAGGGGGGGCTTTGGTGGAGGAGGGGGGTGCTGTGCCAGAAGTCCTTACTGGGGGCCCACAGAGGCCATTGTATGTTGCTAGAGGGGGCAGGGGAGGGGGCAAAGCCAGAGGACTGGGGTGTGGGAGCTGCTGGGTCATGGTTCTCGCCTTTTACAGCCAGCTCCCAAACACAGTTGCTTGCTGCTCCTGAAAGAGGCTGGGCCAGAAGGAGGTGGGGTCCTTTCCCACTGGAAGGCTGGATTGAAGGGGCCCCGCCCTGGGGGTTCCCGGATGACTGGCCAAGGGCTCACTGAAGCCAGTGAGGGAGAGGAGGCAGGCGTGGTCCTCTCCAGCAGGCCCTTCGGCTGTTTGGAAGGCCCTGCTGGCCCCCCAGGCCCTTGAGCCGAACCCCCTTTGCGGTCTGATCTGAACCCTCGCCTGCCCCACCCCCTTCCTTCTCTACACTTCTGGGGCTGGCCTTTTCAGCCCTGGAAGCTGCCCAAGAGCATATCTTTGAAGCACAGCAAAGGTTAGGAAGAAGGAAGACAGAAATGTCCTCTGGGCTGGGGGAGTGGGAGAAAGGAATTCCATGCATGCATGGAGTCAGGGCGGCAGGCCTGGTGGGGCGATTGGCTTGGCCGAGGAGGTGCCCGGCATGTCCTGCTACCCCCTTCTGGCTGCCCGGCCCTGCGCACAGTGAGCCCTCTTCCCCAGGCTGTGGGTAGGGAGCAGGGAGCCATGGCCCTTGTTTACTGTGCTTGTTTCAACCTTGGCTCACAAGGGTAAGAGCCAGGCTCTGCCATCCGCCCCTACAGGATGCGAGACCTCGTAATTGTCTTCAATTACAGAGTGCCGGCCCTCAGCCCTGGCTTCCGACAGGAACCAGAGCCCGAGCCACTTCCATGGGGGGTAGGGGAGCAGCCCAGCCCCCTCTGCAAGGTTTGGGGGCTCCTGTGGTCTCCGGGGCACGTTCAAATGTCCACAGGCTAAAGACCTCACCCATCAAGCCAACGGGGGCGGGGGGGCGGCGCTGCTGAGAGCCCGTCCCTGCTGAACACCTGCCCTCTTTGTCCCCGATCAGGATGAAACCTCTGTGAGCAGTGAAGATTTTGATATGAACGACTCCACATGGATGTCAGCTGACCCACACCTGGCCTCCAGCCTGAGTCCCAGCCAGGACGAGAGGATGCGGAGCCCGCAGAACCTCCACAGCCAAGAGGATGGTGAGTGTCCCTTGGTGGCTGCGGGCGCAGAGGCTGTGCAGGGCAACAGGGGCCTGGGCATCTGGGGTGGGGAAAGCTGGGCCAGGGCCGTGGGGGGTGGCCCAGGCTTATGGCTGCCCCCCACTCAGTGCTCTCAGAATCTCCGTGCGCCCCGCTTGCCAGCCCCCGGGTCCAGGGAGACCAAGTCATTGCTCCCAAGGATGAGTGAATGGCGTGCTCAGGGACTGGCAGCCTGATAGGCATCACGCCGGTTTGTTTGCCCCGATGCTCACTGGCTGACGTGATACGGGTTTTGAAGTTTTCACGAATCGGGTCTGGGAAGGTTAACACTGTGCCTGATCTGGAACAGTTCAGCTGTCCGGCAATGAAAACAAGAGCTAAGCTTCTGCAGTTCTAGTGGACGACTGTTGGGACAGGGTCCCTGCCTGTCACCGGGGGATGAAGCAGGCAGTGCACTTGTCCGTGTGTGCCCCCAGCCCCTTGGGATGAGATATGGCCCAGGGTGAGGAGCTGTCGGACTCGCCCCAGCCCCGGCCCCACCGCCTACCAGGGCCTGCCAGGCAGCCTCCTCTGGGCTCCCTGAGAGCAGAGGCTTCCTTTCTGGGGTGAGAGAGTTGAGGTCAGAAGTTACGCCCCAGAAGTCTACTGCAGAGCTCTCTTGTGGAGGTCCTGGGGTGCTGGGCCCCGGGGCTCCCATGCCTGCCTCAGTGAGGTGCGGCTGTTGGCCTCGGGTGGCTCCTGTGGCCAGAGTGTCCTGGCCAGGCTCTGTTTCCAGGGAGGAGGTGACTGGGAGTAGGGGATGAGCCACACCAAGCCTCAGAGAACTGGGGTGTAGAGCTGGCAATTAGGAGAGGTCGAAGGTCGGGGCCTGGAATGTGAGAGGGAGGTGCAGGGTTAAAAAGGGGTGTAATGTTAACTCTGTGAAACGGGTTAGCCTTAAAGAGTAAATAAGGGGTAGGAGCCTTGCAGTTTGGGTCAAAGTTCATCTCCATGGCAGAACCGCGCACCTCTGACTGCCCTCTCGAGCCTGAATCCGGCTTTGTCTGGGAGGAGCCCCAGCCTGGAGACAGCTGGGGCGGCTGGGCCAGGGGCTGGGGATCCCGGAGTGTGGTTCTTCGAGGGTAGGGTGCAAGGCTACTGGGAAAGAAAAGGCTTTTGTGCCTTGCTGCCTCATGAGGTCAGCAGGACCCCCTGGTGCTTGGAGCCTCCCAGACCAATACTGCCTTTCAGCCTTCCCTCCAGGTGGGGACCTGGCATGGAGGCAGCCATGTGCCCTGGGGGCTCTGGGGCTGGGACGTGCCCAACAGCTGACCTCCCTCCTCATCTGAGCTGATTGAGAGCCACACCCAAAGGCTATATACCAAGGGCCCCTACAGCAAAGCCCAGCCAAGAGTGTCAATTATACCTTCCCAAGAAGGATCCAGAACTTTTTTTTTTAAACTCAGAGTAGTAGGATTGAATGGGGGCCATATTCCCCCAGCTCATTCTCAAAAAATCTTGTGGTATTGTTCCTCACAAGCACCCTTGGGGGTCTGACCTCTGCTAGAGACACTTCCCAGCGAGATTTGGTGATTTGGGGGGGCCTCCGGGATCAGGTAGCGGAAGAGAGTGTTTCCGCGGGGGTCACAGGGCTTCCTCAGCATCATTGGCCCATTGCCTGGAGGTTGGCCGATCATGAAGATGAAGCTGAGAGAAGCAAAGAGACCGGTGGGGTCAGCATGTCCTGCAGCTGGTCCCACAGGAGCCTTGTAGGGGCGCCCAGCCTGGATGCAGTTGTGAATATTGCCCCCGCCTCGCCCCTGCCACTCAGGTCCCTCCTGGCTCTGGGGGCTGGGGCTGGGGCAGGCTGGCCCGCTGACAGGACAGGGGTGTTTATCAGGGCGGGCAGCCAGAGCTGGAGACAGGGAGGATGGTGTTGACCATGATACCATCAATTTAATTATTTAATCAGAGGCTGTGTCTGGAGGCTGTGGGCTGACGTGCTGGCCAGAGGCCAACCTAGACCCACTGTAGGGGGTCGCAGGCCTTGAGAACACCCAGCCTGCTGGCCTGGTCTCTGCTGCCCCTTCTGGTTCCCAGATCTCTTGGTGACTGCCATGTCTGACCAGAGCAGTGGCTTCCCAAAAGGCTTTGGCTGGGCACAGGCCCAGCCTGCAGTCCTCGTCCAGCCCTCCAGCCCCCACAGTGGCAGGCAGCCAGCTTCCTTCTCTGAAGGTACTTGCAGTGCAGACATAGGCTGAGATCCTGCTCCCATCAGCGAGTCAGTGGGAGACCGTGAGGGGCTGCTGGGTGTTCTCGTGTCCCTTCTGGTTAACGAAGGAGGACTAGGCGGGGGCAGCCGAAGCAGGAGCTCTAGTTGGCTCTGCACCCTGCACCCAGCCACGGCCCTCCACGGTCTCCACCCTCTGCTCATGTGCCTTCATCCAGAAGCTTCCCCAGCCCCACAGACCCCCGGGGATGGCCTAGTGTGTGGTCTCTGACCCGTGGTCCTCCATGGAAGTGGCAGGTTGGAAAGATGATGTCTGAGATCCCGGCTGTGAGCTCTGTGAGATGTGGACCATGTCGATACTGCTCTCTGCTCTGTCCCAGTGACTCTCGTGCATGCCTGGCACGTTAAGTGGGGCCCGCTGAATATTTGTGGCTTAGATGAATAGAGGAACAACAACTATTTAACGAGACCTACCCGTGAGCACACCATGCAGAAGGGGTATGGGTCTGCCCCTTGTTAGGGACAAGTTGGGTTTTTTGTTCCTGGGGAGAGCCCACATCTGAGCATCTGAGTATTTTCTCTTAGCTAGAAAGTGTGGGTGTTCTCATGGCTGTGCTGCTGGCCAGTGATGTGGCCCCGAAGCAATTCAAGAAGCCAGGCAGTTTGCGCAGTCACATCTGTTGCGGGGGGCGGGGGTGTTGGGGCCACTGCTGCCCTCCTCCTCCTCGTCCTTTTTCAAGTTTTAACAAAGGCACATGAGGGCCGGGCCTTGGCAGGGCAGGTCCCAGGGCTGACTAGGAAGGAGTGAGCAACAGGCCAGCTTCCCCCCACCCACACAGCCCCCGCGGGTCTCCGAGGTGTGCCGGCCAGTGGGAGTGCGCTCGCAGTGGGACAAGCCTGTTCCCCTGCCCCCAGGCCCGCCGCTGCCTGCCAGGCTCCCCTGCACAGGCTCTGAGAGAGTCCACTCCCAGCTCCCTGAAACCACAGCAGTCTGGCTGGGGAGCACCTCTTGGCTAGGCACGTCCTCACTGGGGGCTGTAGCTGCCATGAGTGAGCACGTCACCCTTGTTTCCTGTCACGAGAGGTGACAGGATCAGGGGGCAGATTTGGGCAATCTGGCCAGAGTCCGGAGGTACTGAGGCTGCCCTCTTCATCTTTGGCAGGTGTCAAACCCAGGTATGAGGTTCTAGGGACCAGATCTCAGTAAATGGTGGTTCCTGTATTCCCCAAAAATGGGTGGGGAAGCCTGGGGACCAGAGGTGGCTCCGCACACACACTCAGAGCGCAGCCTTTTCAGGGGCACACAGTGCTCCGCTCCTGTGCTGTCTATTCACAGCCACGTCCCCTCCAGACCTACCACTAAGCTGGCTGAGACTTTGGGCTTCTCAGTCCAGACAGCACGCTGTTCTCATCACAGGTGCCTGGAAAAACACCCTGGCCCAGGGACTGCCTTTTGCGGGTGGAGAGAGGATGCCTGGGGGAAGTCAACTCTGGATACTTTCTCCGCAGACACAGTGGTCTGGTGCTGCCTTGGGACTGAACAGCCTGTCAGTCTGTAACGATGCCATCAGTGGATTATCTGATACCCGTATCTTCTCCAGATATCATGGCACCGTGAGAGCCAGGATCCTAGTGCCGAGCACAGGGCCTGGCCCAGGGCAGGCAGGTCGAAGCGTCTGTTGAATGAATGAGTGAATGAAGAAGTGAACGAGGGCAGGCACGCAGGCAGGCGAGCCAGTGGCCTCTGGGCCGTCAGGTACGGGGCGAGGCCAGGGCCCCCGACAACAGCAGGCAGCGCCAGGCCAGGGCCCGTTCCTTCCATTTCCCCTTGATGTGCTTCACCAGGCCTCTTGCTCTGCCCCTTCCTGAACGGAAAATGTGAGGCCTGGCCTCCAGAAGGGACGCTTGGGGGTGGGGAGCGGACATTACTCACCTCTCGGGCAGACAGGAAACCAGCACCAGGGAGAGCCGAGGGTCCTGCTTCCTTTTTCCTGCAGGGTCATCAGGAGTTGCTGGGCTGTGTGGCGCCTTGGGACATTTCGGGGCCTCTTTTTTAGTCTCTCAGATGAGACCCTCCTCCAGCTTCGAGCCTGTGAGATCCGCTGGGCCTCGGAGCTTCCCTCTCCCTGGGGACGAAGGCACTGAGGGCCCTGGTTCAGGCCTTCGGTTCTTTCAGGGCTCTTCACCAGTGGCGTCCTGTGAAGAGGGAGTGCGTCTCTGCTGATGCAGAGTCGGTAAGCCTGTCCTTGCCTTCAGGGAGCCGGAAGTTTCAAAAGGGACAGACACACAGCCATGGTGTCCCTGCTGGGCTCTCAGCTTTCTGAAGGTGAAGGCGTATCTCCGCAGGAGTGTATCTTATTTTTCCCCTTATTTCAAAAGTGTTACATTCATTATGGAAAATTCAGAAACAATAGAGGAGGAAAAAAAATAAAAAATACCAGTGTTTGGGGCATATTTTTATTTTCTTTTTTTAAAAGATTTTATTTTTAGAGAGAGAAGGGAGGGAAAAAGAGAGGGAAAGAAACGTCAATCAGTTTCCTCTCCTGCACCCCCCAACTGGGGACTGAACCCACAACCTAGGCATGTGCCCTGAGTAGGAATCAAACTGGTGGCCTTTCGCTTAGCAGAGTGACACCCAGCCAACTGAGCCATACCAGTCAGGGTCAGGCATATCTTTTTTGATCTTCTCTGTGCAAATAATCAATCTCGTTTTCTTACAAATGGGGGGAGGGAATTGGGAAGTGTTGCAGCCACCTTTTTTTCCCCCACTTAATGTTGTTTGCCTCTGTCA